TTCCTTCCTTCCTTCCTTCCTTCCTTCCTTCCTTCCTTCCTTCCTTCCTTCCTCATCCTATTAATTTATTATTTTCTAAATATGTCATAAAATAGTTTATAGAATATCCTTCCTCAGAGCTCTGATGCTGCGTTCACACCAAACTCCTTAACTTGTATAATTCTGTATTTTCAGGCCGGAAGCTCTGCTTGTTGAGCAGCTCTATTCTGTTGGTGCCACCCATCGAGCATCCCAGCTTTATTTGCTTTGATGAGTTTGAAAAAATAGTTTGAAGACATTTTGAGTGAGAAATTAGACCTTCAGACATCATCTGTTCAGTCAGTTCATCAGGATTATGATCCTACTAAAATATCATCTTCCTGTTCAGAGCAGCATATGAACAGTTTATTAGATTTACGGTTTAAAACCGTTTGCAGGTTTTAGCATATTTAGTTAATGTAGGTATTTATAAACAGTTTCTCCACGCTTCAGTAAGAAAATGGCGTAATAATGATCAGAGCTCGCCCTCTTTTCCTTGTACAAAATGAAACCATTCTCCTGGCTTTTTGAAGAGGTTTAACCGTTTTATTCATTTTTTTTATGCTAACAGCTCTGTAGAAGTAATCATGTCTTGCATGTAGTGTCAGAAGCTTCTCTGATTGGTTGATGCTCCGAGCTGCTAAAGTTCAAATTTGTGAGCTTTGTGTCTGACGCCTCTTCAGTCAGCATTTAAATCAGCTTCTCTCATTGCTGTTGGTGTGAGCGGACCATTAGAGGATGGGACCTGACAGGTGTGAAGTTTGGACCTGAACCGGGTCAGAAATCCTGACTCTGAGCTGTTTTTTGGTCTGAAGCCACTCAGCTGGTTGATGTTTTCCTCTCAGGCTGTGAGGTAACAGCAGTCTGTCTCTGTCTGCAGCGCCTCTAATCTGCCCAGCGGATTAATCACTGACAGCAGGTAGCAAACTGACCTTTGACCCCACCCCAAACACAGTGCCCTGTCCACCCTCACCTGGTGACCTTTGACCTTTCTGACACATATCTCTAGTGGATGTGTGGAGCGTCTTTGCACATGTTCCCCTGTTGAACGAACTCTCGCCAGCATGCGCTGTCCGCTGTGTGTTTCTGTGTGAGTCGGGCTGTTCTTCGTCTGATTGGCTGACGCTCAGACCTTTTCCCGTCAGGTTCACTGTGGGTCACGACGGCACTGAACCCGACCAGGAGGAGAACTTCTGGTCTCAGGCGCTGGAGGATTTAGAGACCTGTGGTCAAAGCGGCATCCTTCGAGAGCTTGAGGTAAAAATATCCAAAACGCCTTTTATTGTGAAAGGGAATTAAAGTTTTATTGATGAAATAAAATAGTTTTGTCCATTCCTAGTTTCTTTCTGTATTTTGTTCAATGGTTGAGCCTCCTAGCCATTCAAACCATCTTCATACGTGTTTCCTGGACTTTCTGAATGTCTTTTCAGTTTTTTCTTAATTCCAGGACTTTGCTGTCTTCTGATGCTAATCAGATTCTCATCCAATGATGAATTTTCCTCATCCTAAACTTTCTGTTTTCCTATTAATAGCTTCCTACAGTCTGAACCAGTGGCGGCTGGTGGAGTTTTCTCCAATGGGGGCTATAAATTAAAAAATATACCAAAAAACCAATCAAACGTATACTAACTTATCACACTAGTATATTTATATCGATGCCAACAACAAAAAACATTATAAAAACACTTTATAAAAACAAAACTGAATTTCATGTGCAGGTTTACTTTTTGTACATAAATCTTTCCCTTCTAAGGCTTTGTGAAGATAAATCTGTGTTTTACATGGTCCAGTATTGTTTCACAAACCTAGAAAAATAATCTATTCATTTAATAATGGAGAAGTTATTGGTCAGATTTATACTTTTTAATATATAAAAACTATTTTCTGAGAATGTGTTTATTTAAGAGAACTAGACAAATTAACAAACATGTAGAAAAAGTACACTATATTCTATTATTTTCCATGTCAATCCCAGGTTGTTTATTGTTCTTTGCCTTTTCTACAAAGTTCTTTAAATCAGTCCTACCTGTCTTTATCCATGCTGGATCAGATCCTGACATTTGAAAAAGGAGGCAGGGAAAGCAGGATAAAGCTTTAGCCTCGCCACATGCAGTTAGCCAAGCCTTATAGCTAAAACAGGTCCTGGAAAAAGACGTTTCTTGCAGCATTTCTGTCTCTCTCTACAATGCGTCTCCAACTCCCGTGACTCGACCTTTTTATTGCAGAGGAGCTGCTGCGCATGTACAACTTTTAACGAGAGTCTATGGGCAAAGATTTTTGCTCCGTAGGGTAGAACTACATCACCAATTGGACTAAAAATGGAATGACGCTTTACTAGTCATTAGAGATTAAATATTTATCTTGCACATCTAAAAAATATGTATTTCAAAATATTATTGAATTTTAATTTAAAATTAAATTAAAAAAGAATATATTATTCTTAAGAATCTTAATCAGGGTCATTGGTTGGATGGGACGGCGCCCTAGCGCCCTCTATTGGCCAGCCTCCACCGGCCTGAACACTTTCACATGCTGGACAGATTCACCAGTTTTCCTAATCTGAACATCACTCTTTTTGTCGACCTCTAACTAAAACCATTCAGGACTTCAGGTTGCTGATGCTTAAACAGAAAACAAGCTTGTTTTAAAAGATTCCCAAACAGATTCCTGGTTTTTCACAGATTCTTCTGACTCTGAACAGACGCAGATGAATGCTCTCCCTCTAATTCTTCCTCTTTCTGATGCTTTTCATTTTTTTCCTCCAGTCCTCGCACATTAATTAGCTCAGATTCTCACCTGTATGTTGTTTAGAGGGAAAAGGCTCCACAGATAAACCACAGATGTTTTTAGCACAAAAAACAGTCGACATAGTAAAGAAACCAGCATCCCATTACAAAGACACAGTTTGTTCCCATAAATTCAGCTAAATCAGTCAAAACTAAGACATTTCTGCTACCAAGCAACTTATTTGGTAAGATATTGCTGATCATATGCTTCTGTTTAAGCTTTAATTCATTTTTAATTCATTCATGTGTATCTTGAACTCTCAATAGAACCTGAATGATGGTAATAATTTTATTTTTAGTAACTTCTCCTAAGTGATTTACATGTTTACATCTTTGGAAATCAGTCAGTTAAAGAAAGAAACGGCTGCTTCTCTTCCAGGATTCTGGAAAGGAGACGCACCTCCTCACGCTGGTATCCTTCCTTCCACTCCTCTACTAATCGCCCTGTCCTCGTCCATCTACCTAACTGGCCTTTTACTGCCGCCGGACTGGTTTTAACGGGTTTTAAATGGGTCACATATCGCAGTGATTACGTCTTTGTTGCACCAGGCATGGCGATTTGATCGCGGCATGCTGGGTTGGCTTGCACCAGGCCTGACGGGGAGTTTGTTTTGCTAGATGTGCATGTGTGAGTCCTTGATTTTGATACGTTGGGTGATGAGAGGAAGCTTGGAGAGAAAACATCAGGTGTGACTGTGGCAAAGCGGTATATTTAAAGATATATGAGAAATTAAGAGGCTGGGAAAACCTAAGCCTGCATGAAACCCCAGCATCCGTCAGCAGGTTGCAGAAAGAAATCCGAAGCTGTTCTCTGCTGGAGTTCCAAGCTATACAGATGTAAACATTGCTGATGCTAGCATCGCACTGTGTTTATAACATGGCTATAGCAGCAGCTGAACCTCTTCGGTTGCCTAAAGTTCCACTAAATCCATTCATCTTCTCAGAGCAAAAGAAAACTAGCAGCTGTTTGCAGTGAAAGAAACTGAAATAAACCACATAAGCTCAACACACAAAAAAAAAACAGTTTAATTGAGTTCTGCAATCTCAAAATGGTTTTATTCCTCTGGAAAATCTTCTTTGGTTTGGATTTTAGGGTCAGATATTGGCCAATTTCCTGATATGAGGAGGAATCCGTGATGGCAGCAGCCTCAGCAATGATGCCCAGACTTCCCTCCGTTTTCTAATATCTTCTTTTATACCACTGATCCATAGGACCATAAGCTGGTGAAGATTCTTAGTCATCCAAGTCATAGTCATTCCAAAAAAAGACAATTAAAAACAATCCACTGGACTTTGTTTCCAAGCTTGAAGAGGTTTCACTTCCAATCCAAGAAGCTTTTTCAATTCAAATTGTCAGGAATAGTGTTGACTTCAAGGTTTTATAAAGTAGCCCATCAAAACATTGTTTTTGTTTTGAAAACATGCAAATACAAAAAGGATAAAGGGGTCGCCGCATTTGGAATGGGGGTCGTTTGGCTTCTTTTGTTAGCCTGCAATTCCCAATACCGGAAAGAAAGAAAAAGAAAACTTTAATCAGAGGGGTGGACTCAGGTTTGAGCTTTCAAAAACCTACAATGCAGCAATTGAGCTAAAACCCTTCCCGCTGTCATCGCAGCCCCACCCCCTTTACAGGACCTCGTCTATTCAGCCAGGCCAACAATTCGCTTTAACGACCCCATTTCAGACACTTAGACGGGTATGGGGCATTACAGGCTAACAAAAAAGCCAAACAACCTCCATTCCAAAGGGGTGGACCCATTGGTCTGTTTCTATTTGCATGTTTTCAAAACAAAAGCAAGTCTTTGTTTAGCTACTGTATAAAACCTCGAACTCAACACTATTCCTGACATTTTGAATTGAAAAAGCTTCCTGGATGGGAAGTGAAACGTCTTTAAAATTGGAAACAAAGTCCAGTGGATTGTTTTTAATTTTCGTTTTTTGGAAGGATCCATAGTGCCCAGCAGAAGATGGGGAGTGGTGGCCTAGTGGTTTGGGCATAGAGCCTGGAATCCTGAGGTTCTGGGTTCGAGCTCCACTCCTACAGACTGCCTCTCTGGGTCTTTGAGCAAGACCCTTAACCCCACACTGGGCGCCGCACAGTGCCAGCCCACTGCTCCCCAAGGGAATGGGTTAAATGCAGGGAATGGATTTTGTTGTGCTGTACTTGTGACAGTATAGTGACAATAAAAAGCTGGAAAAAAGCTGGTGACAGCTTCCACTTCCTGCCACCAGGTGGCATCTCTTCTCTATGGTTTTCTCCCTCGGATAAACCTGATCAATCACCTGTTTGCATTTGTATGCGAGGCTTCACCTGAAAAGGTCTGTTTGGATTATTTTGAGATTGCAGTCAAATCTTTCTGAGCTTTGTTAACTTTTACCAGTTGAACCCTTAAAGTAGGAAGAATTTTGCCCCTTGGATTAATTAGTACTGAGGATTAGATCATCTGGATAGTGTGTGGTGCAGTTTTTAATTAGCCTACAGATGTTATGATACTAACGGTTAGCAAAGCCAACAATAGATGATTTTAGTTTCAACAGAAATCTCATTTCAAGGGATGAAAACAAACCTCAATGAATCCTCTTCAGAAGTGATCCAAGTCCTCCTGGCTGACTTGTCGATCCGTATGTTGTCACAGCTAGCTTCACCCGATGGGGGCCTGTGACTCCCCTGCTTGGTTAGTTACGGACATAACAGGGTGGTTATCCTTTACCCTCCTCACCACATCAATCCTTCCTCTAATCCCATGGAGACAGAAGAAGACGCCTTAATCCCACCTGGAAATTATTTTAAAGTGGGCGTTGGATGCCGGTTTGCAGATAACAGCAGACTATATCAGTGACCATAACAGAAGTCAATTCCAGCAGAGGTTAAAATGTTGATCTTTGTGTTTCTGCATCTGGCTTTTGATCATATCTAACGTTAGAAACTAAAAGTCATTGTTCTAATAAAGGTTGAGCATCCTCTAACAAGATATTTGATGTGTCTCTCATTGGTTTTAATGTTACTAAAATCTGCTGGTTTTCTCCCCTTGGCTCCAGGCCACCATCATGTCCGGTTCCACGCTCAGTCTGAACCATGACCCCACCCCTCTGCGCAGCACCCTTGGTCGTCAGTCAAGCTTCCAGGAGCGAAATAGTTCCAAACCCCAGGTACCCGGCCTAGTTGTTTCAGACAGCCATCTTTGATTTAGTCTTAGTCTTCAGGACGAAAACTATTACTAGTCTTAATCACATTTTAGTCATTACGACATGTGCTAGTTTTAGTCAGCTAAAACTTAAAAAGGTTTTAGTCAATTTTATGTTACAAAAAAAGTGAACCTTTACAATTTCGAATAACAACCTGATTCTTTACCAGACTGACAGCTCTAGCCTAGATGCTACAATAGCTGGGTATAGAATGCTGCCGTGCAGTTCATCATTGCTACTGGCAGGAAACTTTGATTTATAGAATTCAAATACACATTTTTATTAATTAATGCTCTACTTTATAAAAAAGTGTCTCACAAAAGTTGTGAAAATAGCAGATCTATTTCAACACATTATATTGGTGAATATAGCAGACAGACAAGATGACAAAACATACAATAAAGGAATGGCTTTAAACACAAAAGGTTTCCAAAGTAAAGCACCTCCTGATCTACTATGAATAACTACTATGAATTATGCTTTACACAAAGATCTATAAAGTCTTCATTGCTCCAAAAAAGCAAATAACAAAAACATTCTTCTTTCTACTTTGGCAAGTTTGGCTTTATTTCTGACAATTTACCCCTTGGTTTCTGCTGCTCAGGGGTCAAAGTAGATTTAAATTTAAAGGGTTTTGATATAAAAAAAAAATACAGAGAGAACAACATTAACTGCCTTGTAATGCCATGGCAATCCAGACCTAAATTCAATGAATATGCTAAATAAAATGTTGACATATTTAAAAGAAACAAAATACGTTTTAATGACAATACACAGAAACATTTACATCATATTTAAATAGATAAAAACGAGAACAATGAGAGAAATATTCAAAGATCTATGTACCTTTTCATCTGGCTCTTTATCCAACAGTAAATTCAATGAAATATTTTATTTCAATATAATTTAGGGATTCCTTTTCGTAGAAATTACAAAATAAAATCTAGATAGTTAGACAAAGGGATTTTTTATGCTTGGCAGAGGATGATCAGCCACATAGTTTATTAAGTAGCGAGAGCAGGAAGAGCCATGCTGCTGAGAGTGAACCACTAGAGTGGAGCGAGAAGCGCAGACTCGGAGCTCCACACACAAAGACGCATTTTTGGAGGGAAGATCGGAGCAGAATTTGTCAGTGTTGAGCACGCAGTACCCGTGGTTCTCAGACCCTGCCGCCACCGCTGCCATGATCCATCTGTGCTCCTGCAGCATGTGCTATACTGCGGCAGGTGGGCTTTGGTTCAAACAGAACGCAGCAGCACGCTGATATTGCTTTGCTGATTACAGCTCAATGATGCATTTGAAACGTCTGACCGCCGACCCACTATTTTTTATTTAGTTTCGTCTTGTTGACGAAAACTCGAAACCTATGACTACTCATGTTTTAGTCGTCAAAGATCCATGTTTAGCTCATCAGTGTTCATTATCGTCATTGAAAAAAAAGAGCTTCAATGAAATGGTTTCGACATCGTCATTCTTGACGAAAACACTGGTACCCGGAGAGTTTTTTTTCATCATAGTATCTTCGTCTCTGCTTTTTCCTTCAATGTTCTCCTGGTTTCCTTAGGTCAACCCTCGCTCCAACACCTTACCCTCCGACCCCCAGCGCAGAGCCTTTGCCATGAAAAAGATGAGGCAAGAAGTGAACGACATCCTAAACCAGAACCCTGTAGAACTCCATAAGGTGACTAATATCCCCTTGATGGTGCCGCAGTCCACTGAGACTGCGGTGAGTTTTAACCCTGTGTTGATTTAATTTGCAGCTCACTTTGGAGAAGGCCTCAGAACTGGAGGACTTTGGATTCAGTGTTTCTGATGGGCTGTTGGATCGTGGAGTTTATGTAAACAACATTCGACCGGGTGGCCCGGCGGAGCGGGGCGGCCTCCGTGCCTATGACCGAATACTACAGGTACAGAACCGCAGACAGAACCTTTGGAAAATCTCCAATTGTTTTACCGCTAGAAATCTTCTAAGGTTTCAGATTTTAATTATCTTATTTTGCTGCTCACACTGAGCCTGGTTCTGCTGGAGGTTTCTTCCTGTTAAAAGGGAGCTTTTCCTCTCCACTGTCGCTACAAGCATGCTTAGTGTGAGGGATTGCCTTCGAGTCAATTAGTCGATGCAATAAACTGGTTTCCCTTAGGTAGAAAACTTTAAATGGTGAACTGTAAAGTGCCTTGAGGTGCCGTGTGTTGTGAATTGATGCTATATCAATGAACTAAATTGAATTATTTGTTAGGAGAATTAATCCATACCTTCCTGGCTTCATTTGAAAAGGCAATTATCCTTACTTATTTTCATGAAACACCAGGTTGGTTTGGATGAATAACTTAAACATTCAGGTGTGAAAACTAAACCCTGAACAGAAGAAATCTGTAAGGGCGTGAATACGTCTAAACGGCAGTGATTGTCTAACTATTCCCCATCCTGATAGCCTGGTTTTAACCACCATGTCCTCTTAGATCAACCACGTCCGGACCAGAGACTTCGATTGCTGCCTCGTTGTTCCGCTCATCGCTGAATCTCCAGACCGGTTGGAACTGGTAATCAGCCGAAACCCCTCCTCCTCCAACTCCGCCCCGCTGGCCAACCACAACGACGGCCTCACCAACAGCAGGCACTCCCCTCAGCCAATCAGCAGCGAGGTGGGACCCTCAGAGGTGTCTGCCGAACACGCAGAAGACTGTGGTCCCATCAAGTGGAACCAGCCTGGAGACGTGTTGGGGGTTGGGCAGGTCACCAATAGCTCCTTATAGCAGACTAGAACTGGATCAATCTGGAATCAGCCGCTTATGACCAGAACGGACCGGCTGGGTCAGCGGGGAAGCCAGTAAAGGATCGTTGACATCAAACTGGTTAAACTGGGTCAAAGTGGACTTCTCGTGGTGCTACACACACCCTCCGGATGAACGTCGGCCTTTGACCACTTTAGTTTGACCCTTGGAACTGCTGAAGCAGCCTAAAAGCACACAACTGGACTGGAAAACCCTCCATAACATCTTCAACCTGACCAGTTCTAGATAATCGGTCAACTGGAGCTGAATTTACAACAACTGGAATCACAGCTGGAGCTACTGGTATAAATGGTTTTGCTAAGGCCATAGCCAGAAGTTCTGCTAAAGCCACGGACACAGAACAGACAAAGTTCTGGGGTTCCACTAAAACCAGCACCACATCTGATGGTTCTACTATCCTGGACAGTGGTTCTTGTTAGGAGAAGCTCAGCTCTGGGACCTGATGTCCCGCTACAGCTACAGCTACTCCATGGAAATAGATGCTAGTTCTGGTCTTGATGGTGGAAGAATCACATCAAAGCCAGAACCTGGACCAGTGGTCTTACCTGGATTCTGGTTCTTCACAGAGCCTCAGGTACTGGTCTTACTGGTCCATCGATGCGTTTTTATCCCAAGCCTTAGCCACGATTAACAATCTGGTTCTAGCTGTGGTGTTTGTGGATACCCAAGCAGATTGTGGTCAGTACTTCATGGCTTCTGGTTCCAGTATGACAGCAGCACACCAGTACAGGGTTCACGTTCTGAACCCAGAACCCAACAATAGATGGAAAGATTCCCATGGAAACTAGGGATGCTCCAATCCGAGTGTCTAGGTCTGATTTTTTGCTTAAACACAAGCTGAGGTAATGAGGATCAGTAGAAAGTTTCATTCTGTTACTAATCTATAAACAAATGGCACTTTGATTATTTCAGCCTCAGCTTTAATGATCCACAGGCTGGAATCACTGATTTAAATAGGACTATATCACTGCTGCTAGCCTGAACTTTAGCTTGAAGCATTATGATGATGCGGCTCTTCAAAATAACCTAAACCTTGATGAATGTGACCTTTTAGACACTGTTTAACATTCTGATGAGCATTCGCTGTGAGATAAACCCAAAGGAGTCAGAATCTGGTATTTAAAAAATATAATAGAGCTAATTTTTACCCCTTTTTTAAGGAGGTTCTCCATAGTTTCATAAACTACGGAGAACCTGGACCCAAAAGGATTGATTTACACCCTGAAAACGCAGCATCAGCATTCAGACAGGGTTGTCATCAAAATTCACCGAAATTGGTCAAAAAGAAGGTCCTCTGTGTTTAGACCTCAAAAAGTTTCTATATATATATATATATATATATATAAAAATCCATAATCAGTCGGGATGCAGCAGCACTTTTACTCCAGTTTTTGGGTTGATGAGGAGCAGTTAGGTAAGCGGATGGTCGAAAGCAAAATGCAGATTTTCTATTTTAACAAAACACAATTCAAAGTTTTATATTTTGAATAGAAACGAAAAGAAAACATTAATTTTCAGTTTGTCTTGTAACTTTTCTGACATCTACTTTTGCTAAAAATATGTTAATAAGCTAATTTATGTACGTTTTTTTTTCTATTGTGCTAATGAACACATTTCACCACCTCGAAGGAAATGAGTTGTTTTTAAAGGATGAACCATGAAAAACAGACCTTTAAACTGGACTTTTAAGAGCTTCTTTCAACAGGGTCAGCATTAACCAAACCTTAACATCGTTCATTCTCATATTGGCAAAGTAACCTTTAAATATAGTTTCATTTTTTGGGGGCAAAATAATAGAAATATGGACTTTAGTAAGAATCAGCTGATTCTGATCGGAGCATCCCTAATAACCCAGACACAAAAGTAGAGAGTTTACTGTAAATTTTAGTTCTGTGCCATAAATGAGCTGCTGATTGAACGATGCAGAGTAGTCATGACGACGACGATGATGATGATGATGACACTGAGCAGTTCAATAAGAGTCTTTTTCTACAGTTTACAGCTGTTGGACTGGCCACACTGTGTATGTATGTCTGTGTGTGTGTGTGTGTGTGTGTGTGTGTGTGTGTGTGAGTGTGTGCGGGTGTTGCAAACAGGCCAGTTAACTCAGTTTCCTGTCTTGGCGTAACCCCCAACGTTTCTCCATCCCTTGACCAATCAGCAGCCAGGACGAGAAACGACAGCACATCAGCTGATTGGCTGGAACCAATCAGAAAACAAACAGTTTCCCCACCTGTGTTTGATTGGTTAGTTTATGTGTTGAGGAGAGCCAATCGGCTCCCAGAAAAGAGGCCAAGCATGCCCCCTCTCCCCTCCCTTTTCCAGCCCCCGTAACAGTGATCTATTATGCTAATCAATAAGTGTGATTTTGATTGACTGTTGTCAGTTCTCTGTTTGTTTGTTTAAATGGCAACCAAACCTAAAAAGATGTACAGAAGATTAAAAAGAAAAAACAGTCAACGTCGCTTTTCACATCCAAATCCCAGTAACCTTCACGTCATAACCACAGAAATAATGTTACACGAGAAAAAAAGCCTGTGGAATCAGGAAAACTGTGACAGTAAATGCATTTTCTGTGTGTTTGAGGGCGAATGATATATAACTGTTTACGTTTGATGTCAGCATCTTCCTGCTCTTCTCAGTCTGAACTCACTATTTAAACTGGCCAATCAGAACCCTCCCTCAGCACCAACAACAAATAGAAATCCTCCCTGAGTTGGGAGGGTCCGATGCAGTGGATTATTGATTGATTGGCTTGGATTCTCTAATCTGAATTAAGCACATTACTGGCGTATGGTTAGCAAGCATCGAGCACAGGGCTAAAAGAGCACAAAGGTAGTCAGGACTAGTTTTACCAACTTTAATAACATGTTTGATTAGTAGATGGTTTCTAATCAAACCCAGGGCAAGTATGGCCGATTTCTAGACAGCACAGACCTCACACAATGCTACTACAGGGCTAACATCTGCTGTGCTATGCTGTGACCTAGCATGTGAACTGCACCTGGTGCGGATGCTTCTTAAAGTCAAGGTGTCTTCTCATTTTGAAATGTTTTGTCATCAAATCTGTTCTGACATTCAACCTTCTTAAAGACGGGCATACACTTTATGATTTTTTCAATCGTTGCACGCAGCTACAGCTCATAGTGTACGACGACCCGATGCTCTGATGCGATCTACCTGCTCACGCCGTACGTCTAAAAACCACGTCGGTCTCAGCTCCGCAGTGAGATGGCGCTATTCGGACTCGTCTATTTGGAAGCCAAACCAGTAGAAGAGGAATATGAACCTCGTTAGAGAGAAACGCGCTGCCTCTGCAATTTGTGAAATTTTTTGTGCTGAAAGGCCTAAAAAAAAAAAAGGCGACGACGTATTTGGACAAAGAGATGGCTGAGCAAATGAGGCTACTATGGTCTGTCAGTTTTACAGAAAGAACTCCTATTCACTCGCACCCCCACCATGCTTCTGTGTTTTAATATGAGAGGAAGAATAGGAAGAATCCGTGTTTGCGCACTGAGCGATTTGCCCATGACAGCATATCCCATAATACTTGTCACCGAGAGTTCTCCTCGCTAAAGGTGAGCTTCAATGACTGTCTGAAACCGTACCGTAGCTCACCACTTGTATCCGCCTAAAAGTGCGCATGCGCAGAAAAAGATAGCTAACAGGACGAACACGTAGGACGGCCTTACTTAAACATATCACCAGAATGATTGACAATTAGGAGGACTATTTATTTAGATAGAAATTTAAATAAAAGATCATCCCCTATTCCTTTAATCTACGTGGATGTCAAAACTGATCTCTGCACAGACCTGTCTGGGAGACGGTGTGTGGAGTCTGCCACGGGTACGACTTGATTACACGCGGTCTTCTGCTGAGTGAAGTACTCCCCAGCATGTAGGGGCCTTTAGACTTCCTAATGTTAAGCTGAAAGTTTATGGAACATCTTGGTGCTTCTCCACCGTGACCCTTTGTCAAATCTTTTGTGGAAAACAGATGAAAAGATTCATAAATAGAAGGCAGCAAATTATTATATTTCTGGCCTAGGATGAGCATAAATTTGAAGACTCATTCTATCAAAGGTATCCTTGACTTTAGCAAGCACCCGCAGTAATTATCAGCCTCTGCGTCTCCCCCAAAAAGCACATTGTAAGAATGATAAAATTGCTAGTTTTTAACTGTGGCCCACATCACAGGTTTAGTCTATCATTGTGTTTTTAGAAAACTTGTTTGATTTGTGCCAAGCTTACAGATTGGCTGATTGATCCATTACACCATTAGCATCCTTCACTTTCATCAGTTTGACTTTCTTGGAGGGCAATGATGACGCCTTCAACCTGCCATGCTTCAGTCCATAAGTTAGCAGGGTAATCTATCTATTTCTTTAAAAGTGTCTTGTTCAAAACCTTTAGTTGTGATTGGCAGGACTTGCCAAATCTGCAATCCAAAAGGCTTGGATTAAAGGAACCGCTTTGTAATCGAGGCCAAGTTATCCCCAATGTCCATGTGCAATCGAAAGGGTATAAATATATGCAAGCATGGCTAATAAACGAGGCTACCACATGTACATGCTCGGTATTAATGTTAACAACCAGATACAGGGCAGATGAAAACAAACCATTGCCTAGTGGTAACATTTCAAGGCCCATTCATATCTCACGTTTGGCCTGCACGTCCGTATTTCTGTCCGTACGTTCTATCCGTTGACTCCTTCATACCTCCGTCCGTTGAGGTGCGCAATAACCCGTATTTCCTCTAGGTGGCAGTG